GAATTTACAGGACCAGGACTTGAATTTGGAGTCCCCATCCTTAAGCCTTTCTGAACCACAAAGCTTACAGATTGGAGCCAGCGGCTGCATGACACCATGACAAATAAAGCCAAATGCATGTGTTATACAAGAGTTGTAGAAGGAATGCAGCAAGATAGAGAGAGATTGCCCATGAATCTGGTTGGTGAGATGAAAATGAAGCAATGCTAATCACACCTCAAAGAAACTTTATCGACTGCATATTGTAGAAAGTTAAAAAATTCAAGTCACGATGCAAAAGTTACAAAGCTTTGATTTATTTTTTAGATTCGCACCCAATTCACAATTTCGCGTGTAGCCAAATCTTCCGGTTAACCAACAAGAAAACTCTTGTAAAGCAACTCTTTTTAACACATCTAGCAACTATGAGTAGCTCAGTTGCAGGTTTAGTACTAATACCAAAAGATGGACAAGGATAAGAGAAGTGCAACTGCACATGCAATCTTCAACCAGAAGGAAGAAAATAAATTGAGATTGATCAATCTAACAATCAGGAAAAACTTAGAATGAGAAAACATGCAGAAATGAAAACACTGAAATTATCAAAACAACACGGAACCGGTTATCTAATCTAACAACCATTGGCATTCATTTACAAATCATAATACCCACAGGATATACTAAGGTGCATATTCCACATGCCCACATAAGGAGCTCAATTGAAGGATGTTTAGCAGTGCCCTTAAGACCTGGCCAAGAAGTCAAATTGGATGGCTTGCCAGATGGAGTGATTTCCAACTGACATTTGAATTTAGAATCAGATGCATTATCTGATTCAAAATTTCTTCTCTGATGTGCAGAGCTTAGATCATCTGCTGCCCCACATGTCCCATCTTTCCTGTCAAATCCACGTGATTCTAATCCACATCACTGCTCGGTGATTGGGAAGAGAAAAAATTTCAAATAAGGACTCGAAATAGTCCTTTTCTCAAACGAGGATCCAAAGTGGACATTGTCTTAAATAAGGACCTGAAATGCCTAACTGAGTCTCAAACAAGGACCCGAACTCCAAATCTTATCCATAGCTAGGGTATTTTCGTCCAAGGATATTTTTTTCTTTCTTCATTTTTGCTTTCTTTTTGCTTTGGTTTTTTTCTTCTTCTTGTTCTTTCTTCATCTTCCTCACGTCTCCGTCTTTGCTCGACATCACCTCCGTCTTCGACACCATCATCAGGCTCCCCCACCAGCGAGCTCGTGAGCTTCACATCGTCACGCAGGCTATGAGCAGTCTCGGTGATGAGAAGTCGGATTGGAGTTATTTGTTGCCGGCCGCCTTCTCCGACGATAAAATCGTCAGTTCCTCAAGATGCATCAGATCTCGACTCATTCATGCTCAATCTAAGGCTCGGATCGACCTCCGTCTAACAACGAAGATGCTGGAATTTCTATCGAGGGTGGTGGCCGACAAGGTCGAGGGCTCGAATAGGACGTGTCAATGGCCAATGTGGCAACTGAACACAGCAGTTTCTGCGGTTAATGATGTGAGATTGATTGGTGGTCAATCTGAGGATGGGGTATCGGTTGAGGAGAAGAGCTGTGTCGATGAGAATGGCAAAAGTGTGAGTGGGTGTCTCCAGACTAGGGATTACTGAAAGGGGCCATTGTCATTGCAAAGGAGAAGGAGGATCTTCGAAAAATCGAATTCACGCGAGAAGGCAAACCAGAATTTGAAATTGATGGGGCAAAATTGTTGCCGACGTTGAAATAGTCGCCTGCTGCAACGAAATTGTTCTTTGGCGTGGAACTGTTGATCACCAAGCAAGAGTCAATTGATTGGAGGCATAAGTTAGTCAAACAAGATGATCTGGCGTTGCTTGGATATTGCTGCTTCTGTTGTTGGCAAGAAGGACTGAAAAGAGCACAAAAAATTGCAGTTGCTGGGTTGACGGAAGGAAGAAGTTGGAATCTAGGAAAAAGCAGAAACATGTTATGGCTTTGAGATCGGAACGATGAATGTCGGGATAAAGAGAACCTATTTTTGTAAGCTCGTTTTGGCTTCATGGAATTGTCTACAAAACCATTTCGACGAGCGAAATTTAAAATCTTCAACGAGTTAGGCTGTGTTGTAATGGCTTGCGCTGAAATAAACCCGATCCTGGTCATAAAACGAGATCACACAGAGAGATAGAGGGGCTGATGATGGCGCTGAAGATGGAGGTGATGTAGCGCGAGGAGGCGAAAGGAAGTTGAAAAAAGAAGAAACAAAGAAAAGATAACAAAAAGAAAGAGAGAAAGAAGAAAAAAAAGGAAAAAAAAGAAAAAAAAATGTTTTTGACAAAAATGCCCCTGGCTGTGAATAAGATTGGAAATTCGAGTCCTTATTTGAGACTAAGTTAGCCACTTCGGGTCCTTATTTGAGACAATATCCACTTTGGGTCATTTTTTGAGAAAATGACTTCATTTGGGGTCTTTTTTTGAAATTTTCCTTTGGGAAGCTAAAAACCTTCATTCGATTCACGGATTCTTCGAAGCTTGGACTTCCTGCATTATCATGCCTCGATTTTGAAGGGATTTCTCATTCTCAATATTTCGCAGATTATGAGAGTTACTCTCTTTATCCCCGCCATCTTCGAATTGAGAACTACACCATATGTCATCCTGCAATCTCCTTTCTGCAGCCATCGCAGCAGCTTGTGCTGGACTATAAGTACCGTGATGCTACTGTCACCACCGAGACGCCTAGGTCCAGATGGTAAGAGAGAACCCAAAACTGCTCTCCTCTCTGCAGCAGCCAGAGCAATTTGCCGCAGTGATGAAATAGGTGGCTTTTTAGAGAAACCGCCAAGACGCCTCCCGGGAAGATCAAAACCCTGGCCAGTGCCGGTTATTTCCTTGGCCGTCAACCTCTGGCACTCCTGTCGTTGACATCGCAATGTATATAAAGTAGACTAGAAAATAAATGAGGGCATTGTGACAGCGCAATGCCCAAACCACCATGTACATTTCGAAAAAGTAGTGCATCTATCCTGTAGACCTTAGTAGAGATGACTAGAAAGGACACCGAGACTTTTCTAACGACCAACCTTTCCAAGTTCATCCCAGAGCTTGTAGAGCTTGGCATCGTGAGGGCCATGCACCTTGTGGCAGAGCCCGTGACCCATCGTGCGTCGAGGACTCTGTCATAAGGATAAAAATGATCGTCTCCATTCGGCATGCGAAAGCCTCGGCTTCACATGCACGCCACGACCCACATTCAAACCCAGAAGACGCGCGTTCATTGGGCTGCACTTGACACCTTTGATTCATCACAATCAATCGTCCTCCTATAATTCAAAAAAGAGAAGTTCAGAATTCCACGCCCACATTCACGGATTACCAACCCAATCCGATACAACCCGAACCATTTTTCAATGGGCAATCAGTGCACACGCAGATAAGAGCATTCATCCAATGAAAAGAAAATCGAGGGTCATGCTATTTTGGCATTTCAAAGCATCAGAACACTATCCTGGTGGCTTGCGAGGTGAAACCAAAACGAGAGCAGCGACATCTGACCAGAACTCGGAGAGATTGGCGCCACGGCGAGATTGGTTTCGTTTTCGAGTTGGGGGTGGGTGGGGTGTTTGGAAGCGGGGATAGTGCCGGGCCGGCAACTGAGGACACAAATTTCTTGTTGGGCTTCTGTCTTTCCATCTTTTCGGGCCACCATCCAACATTTATGGAAATTGGATAATCCAAAAATTAGGGGAAAAGAATTTTCCACGAACTAACTTTCACATGTTTGATTTGCCGTAAATGATCAGCTAACATAATTTCATTTACGGGTTAAAAAAAAAATTCAAACTTAAAAGTTAGGGAAAATGAGTTTCCTAACCTCAAAAAGAGAAAATTTGACCAAAAAAATAAAAAAGGGTTAATATCACGAAAAACCCCAAACGAGTACACTTATAACAAATTTACTCCAAACTAATCTTTTGACTACCAAAATCCCAAACTGGTAAATACCCTACGTTAAATTGAATTAATACTACGAAAAATCGCAAATTGATATGCCGGTGACAAACGGAGGGTAAAACCCCAAACTGGTACACCAATCAACTGTCACGTATTATCCAACTCATAAATTTGATAGTAAAATTTAACAAAAATTAATGGGGGTAAAATTGTCACAAGTGTACTAGTTTGGGATTTTTCATGATCAAAAAATTAGTTTTTGGTAAATTTATCACAGGTGTATCAGTCTGGAGTTTTTCACGGTATTAACCCAACTAAAAAAGAAAAGGCTGGAGAACGATTTTCCGGAAGTTATTTTCCTTTCATAGTTGGGTTGTGTCGAAGCACACGCATTTGATGATAAATCTTATAAAAGAGTGTGGTGTTGCAGCCACAAATGATTAATGCGTTTGGCAAAAGTCAATGTGAGATTACCGTGATTATCGAAATGAATAAAATGACCTAAAACATGGTTATAATTTTATTGCTAATGTGTATTATCAAAATAAACCCATTGAACAATGGCTTAAAACAAAAAGGGTTATTACCACGAAAAATCCCAAACTGATACACTTGTACAAATATATACCAAACTAATTTTTTAACCACTAAAAATCCAAAACTTGTATAGCTGTAACAAATTTAGCCTCCGTTAGTTTCCGTTAAATTTTGCTGTCAAATTGCTTAGTTAAATGATACATGGCAGCTGCCGAATATACCGGTTTGGGATTTTACCCTCCGTTTATCTCAGGTGTACTAGTTTGTGCTTTTTTTGTATTAATTCAATTTAATGGAAGGTAAATTGATCATAAATATACTAGCTTGGGGTTTTTGGTGATCAAAAAATTAGTTTGAGGTAAATTTATCATAAATGTACCAATTTAAAATTTTTGATAATCAAAAATTTAGTTTTGAATAAATTTAACACAAACGTAACTTTGAGATTTTTCGTGATATTAATCTAAATAAAATAATAATAATAAAAAAAGCACTCGACCGACCAGCTTTGATAGCAAAGAAACACTTTCTCGGGAAAAGCCGAAGGGGAAAGCAAATTTTCTCGGGACTTTCTGCCTCCCTTTCTAGCTCTGCTGAGAATCCTAGGGCACATCCAAAGCATCAGATACAGATACAGAGAGAGAGAGAGAGAGAGAGAGAGGGAAATCGAGATCTGCACTGCAGCTCGCGCTGACCGAGATCGACGTCGTCGAGGACGATGAGCGGAATAGCCTTAGTCCTCGAGCTCGCGAGGCAAAACCCGAGCTTCCACTCCGCCCAATCCCTGCACTCCTATGGTCACTTCTCCGCCTCCGCCTCCGCCTCCGCCGCCGCCGCCTCCGCCGCCACCGTCCCTTTCGCGGCGAGGTTCCTCTTCGGGTACGCGCGCTCTCGCTCGCTCTTCTCGCGAATCTCGGGGGCATCGTCCCCGCCGCACCTTTCAAGGCATCCGCTGGCCTTGCAATGGAAATTTGTATTGCCGAAGCCATGATTCGGTTCCCGCGATAGATTTAGGGAGCTTGGGAAATCAGGGCTCTTTTGGTTTTCGGGCGGAGACCGGAGTGGCGTTGTCGGTATCTTGAGCTGTGAAGGGTTTGACTTTGGTAATCTCGCAGCGATGAGACCTAGTAACCGGGAGCGATTATCTTTTTGCTTCGCAATTGTCATTACGGTCTGAATGAGAGTGATTAGGGAATGGAATGTCCTCCATTCACTCTATAGTGTGATTTGGTATAATTTGGGATGTGGCTAGGTTGGTGTTTTGCGATATGTACTGAAGTCGGGGTCACTTTGCGAAGTTCTTGAGATCCTGATTATGTGTGGAGATGATGTGAATTGATGTTTGGCTTGACCAAGCGTCGAGATGAAAATCCCTGATTTCTCGGTGGGGAATGTGCAGAAAGTTAGGACTGTTCGTTTCTTAATGATCAGTAGCTTCTGCTGTGTACGTCGTATGTCTAGTGCGAAGCTGATGCTAGTGACTTTAATGTCAATGTAAACACGAGTTGTATCGTGATGGAGGTTTATCTTAGATAAACTGTGTCGTTGCCGTTCTCATGTTTGCTGGAGGTGGCGGTCGGCAGTGTTTGCTTTCACGGGCATATGCTTTTTCTCTTTCTTTGGTATGATTATGTGTGACGAGCAGCTATTGGGCGCGCCTCTCCCACCCCTAAAAAAAAATGCACATGCATACTTTCTTAAGACTTTGAGATTTCAGTGATGAAAAGTTTGACTCTGCTCGGCTACAAGTTTTGTTAGTCTGTACTAGCCTTTGAGCTGAAATTATCTTCCTTCTTTCCCTTATCCTTAATGATATCTGAATTAGCATTCTCATGCAGCAGTTTTAGGTTGCCTGTCGCATACTGCGATGCTGGGACAGCATGGTCTGAAGATTATGTTTCTAGTACACAAAGTAATTTCGAGAATATACTGAGTGGGGAATCTCTGAAACACAGTGCCAAAATATACAAAATAGAGATGAAGCCTCTCTTTTCAGCATTTGAGTTTAGGACATTTGCCTTGACTTCGTTAAGGTCTTTTCTACAGTCCTATTTGCCTCTTATACAGTCCAGCATCCAGGAGGAAGAGGATGATAACTTCCCGCAGGATGCCCATGAGGAGCACCATGTAGATATGGTTGTTCCCTTAAAAAATTCTGTCAAACAGATCATTCGGGAGGTGAGCGCTTATATCTCCCAAATTCTTGATTGCAGTTAAGGACACCGTGATAGCTTTCATCCCATTTCTAAGTGCGATTCTCTTTTACTGGCGGAGAAGCACACATTTGATGCAAAAAAAAATATGGGGAAAAAGTGGGGGGTTTTAAATGCATAAAGAAAGAAACATAGCTGAAGATTTCATCTATTTTGAGAAATAAAATTAAGTTCTAATCATGAAACTGTGGAAGAATTATGGGAATGGCATTTTGCTTAATTTTTTCCCACTTTTACTTATGATTTAGTGCATTCTAATATGTTTGGCGTTTTTAATAAAAGACGTGAAGTTTTGCGGAAAGTTTTGGTAACAGTTTGAGTTTGAAAATCACTTTGTTCTGCTTTATGGTAGATAGATCTTATAGCGATTGGACAGTTCTGTGCTATTAGGATTCTTCATCTTACTTTAGTAGTTTCATCTGGGGCAGATATGGGCTGTGGAATACACCTTTCAGGTTTACCGTTTATGGTCTCTTTTGTTTGGTTACAGAGCAATAACAATAGCAGTAACGTCAAAGTTTAATGTCTCGTAGGACTTTGTGGCAAGTTATGGTCGATTCACTGTTGCTTCTCTTTTGAAGGAAAAAGTTTGAGAGAAAGAACAAGAAAAGCCTAAAGTTTCTCTCTAGTAAACTTAACTATTTTTTTCACCTCCAGACTACAGTTGTAACTACTAGACGGGTTTTGGAAAGGCTTGCTGTCCAATATGTTTCACAAAGAATGGCATGGAAACTTCTTAAAGGTACTTTTCTCACTACTCAGCATATGCGTGAATTAACCCAGTGTCACCCTACTAATTTTTTCTATACTATGTCCAGATGTTCCCAAATCCACTACACGCAAGGCACAAAGAGGGATGCCAACTCTAGTTTATATATGGAGTGTTAGCAGGACGACTTTGAGAGGTCAATTCCTTTATATTTACAACTTTCTTCACTGCTGTGATGAATTGCTTGACCATCCATCTTACCATTTCTGCCTACCATGTACCTTAACAGGGCAGTTACTAGGAACTGCGGCAACATGGCTCATTCAAGTAGGAATTGAAACTTACCGATGCTTGTCTAGTATATTCAAGTCCAAGGAAGAAGATGAAGAAGTTGATTCAGTAGAACAAGTTATAATTCTCGGGAAGAAGGTCCACGTAATTACTGTGAAGTGTAGTGCATCCCTGATTTTTGCTTCGATCGGAGCAGGGCTTGGTGCCACTATCATGCGCCCTTCACTCGGGCAGTGGATTGGTAAGCACTCTTTTGGTTGTGTACTCCCCCCTCCCCGGAAGTTGATCAACTGTTCAAAAGGGGATGCATACGTCTATATTGCTATGTCCAAATTCTAATATGGTGCGATTGGTTTGTAGGCTGTGCTCTCGGCGACTTAGCTGGCCCAATTATTGTGTCATTTTGCTTTGAGAAATATCTCCAGCTGGCTCTATGAAGTATTGGCTTCCAATTCTCTTGCATGGACCTACCCTCCAAAATCAGGGTCTAGCTTGACTTGATGCCACTTGCTTGATGATGTCCATCGGAAGTGGCTGTTGAGGCCAGATGCTGCGGTTCAATTCATTTATCAAATTTGCACCTGTCAGTGTGGTTCCTTCATTTAGACGTGAACTCAATCACACATTTTGCCCCGGAATCGCAACCCTACATTGTGTCCGTCATTATATGAACTATACTGTATTTGAGATAATTCTGCAGCAACTTAATCAAGTTTTGTGGAATTGTACTCCAGTTTGCTCTTGTCTACCATGTAACCAGATTTTTACCCCTGGAATAATCATCCCAGGGCACTACTTTTGACTTTGGAAGTGTTCTTAATGAAAAAGATACGGAACGAAACATGCATTGCAATGTGCTTTTTTGAATTTCCGATCATCAAGTGTTCAAGTGTGCTCGTAACTTAAAATTTTATCAGCACACTTACAAACCTCAACAGCTTAAATTTCACCAATTCAGCGGCTGTTTCCGACCATTTCCCTCCTCTCCACGCTAATCATGTATCTGGAACCCTAACCGAGGTGCTTGTTTCTCGTCTCCCTCGTAAGTACTCAATGGCGGAGCCATCCGAAGGCATCCCAGATAATCATGACTGCTCTTACCCCGACCCAAAGCATCTTGGCCAAGAACTTGTGAATAGGTACCACGCTCTGCGGCATGTACCGTTCGGAAAGCGAGAGCTTTGAAAAGACGTACCAGAACACACCGCGAGACAAACCCATAAAGATGGCAAAGATCCAACCTGCAACCGCACCCTGTGTGGAAGGGTTTACTATGATCCCTATGGCCATGCCGATCGGGCTTGAGATCGCGATCGCGAAAGCAAATAAATATGCAACACCCGACAAGAGAGGCCTGTTGGGCATCATCCTCAGGAGGGCGATGCCCATTGCAATTGCTGCAAATATTCCTTGGAGGGAAATGATCCACATGGCTTTCCTCGCATCTGCCTTCGTTTCTATGACTCCAATGGTGATGCCTCCGATGTCCGAGGGTAAACAGAGGGCTGTGATCAACAGGATGCTGTTGCTGGGCGATCCTATGGCGATGCTCGCATTGTGATGATGGGGCTCTCCGTTTGCACTGCTGCCCTTTCGCTGCACAATGCCCCCTGGTATGAAAATGGAAAGATTTGTAAGATTTGAGCTGAGGAAAAACTGAAAAGCTTAAAATGGTTCCGATGTTTTGTTATCAAATGGTGTCAATCGGCTCTGTGTAAAGGAGAAAAACGAAAGAACGGTGGACCAACGGAAACTCCTAAACAGCTTCAATTTCGGAATCAACAAGGGAGGATCGATCGGCCCACTGGTCTGGAGGGTAACCAGTCAAAACAAAGGAAACAAAAATTATTGCCTTCCCCTACAATCCTCTTCTACCAAAAACAGAGTACCAATAAACTAGATTGATTAGACTCTGCTTCTCACTAATTCACTTGAAATTCATCGAAACTCTTCTACTTCCACACACTAGCACGAACCAGTGCCCATGGTCATGGTCTTTGGACCGTTTCGGCAAACTCAAGCTGCATGCAATTGAATTGACTCTGTTTCTGATGCACATTACAGAGCAAAAACAGAGTTTGCAGGCAACAGATAAATTCACGCAATTGACCCTCCACGCGCATTCATAATGGGAACCCAAACACCAAAAAGAAAAAAGAAGGGAAAGCAAAAACAAGGGAAAAAAACAGGTAAGATAAACGAGGACACGGAGCAAGTTTTGTTTTCCATTTACCTGAGACCTCCAAATCGCTATTGGTGCGACTGCTCTGTTCCTCCTCCTTCTTGCCATGAACGTGGGATATAGCGGAGTCAGCAAGCATGGTGAGCAACCAGCCGGCGATCGGGAGCATGAACGAGGTATGGTACCCCTTCTCAGTCAGGTGGCCGAACGTCTCCATGGCGTCCACGGGACAGCGCATCAGCCCCGTCACCAGGAACAACCCTACGGCGAAGTGCCTCCCCCGCAACGGGAACGCCTTGTTCCACTTCAGCAAGTATGGGGAGACGCCGCCGACGAACGTGCCAACGGAGACCAGGACGAGGCACAAGATCCTGGCGAGGATTAGGGACTTCGAGCGCATGTCTGCGGGTTGGTCTCCATCGGAGGAGGAGGAGGAGGAGGAGTCTTCGTCGCGGTCCCTGCAGTGGGCGGCAGCGGCGAGGAGGGGGCACAGGAGGAGAGAGAGGAAGAGGAGGAGAGAGCGAGAAATAGTTTAACATTCATGAGGAATTGGAAAATTTTATAGTACAAGAAGATACAGGATACAGAGGAATTGGAAAGAACAACTAACAGCGACAGGTGAAGGGGCGCTGTTACCAAAGAAAATCTGACGTCGTTCTATTGCAAGATTACCATCACTAAACCGGTAATAATAACCATGTACACGTACACAAACACATGCAAAATAAAATCATAAACCCATTTTAATTCCTTAATCGCCTTCCACTCAGCGTCAGCGATCATAGTTTACATCAATGTGGCGAGATACCTTAAATGTCATAGAGTTGCCCTCACTTCTTCTTCTTCTTCTTTTCTCTTGATAACCTAATTATATGTCTCATCAAAGAGGGCAGGCTTATGAAGCTCGAGTTTAGCATGTTTGGTTTTGCTTAAAACAAAAACATTTTAAAATGAAAGAGAATGCTAATTCTAACGATCATGAAGAATACAAATTCACGTGTCGATATACGCAAAATTCCACGTTAAATGAAGGGAAAATTTCATAAGTGCCAACACCAAAACATGTTTAAGCCTTTGATCGTCGACTCGGTTCACAAAGATGAAGTTAGATGCGACAAAGGCAAAGTTTGAGGCTCTTAGCAAATTCAATTGGTTGACAAGAAAATTAATTTTACCCGATAGAGAATGAAAGTAAAAATAACCGAGCATTGGAGCAAATTGTCGACAAATGAAGGTCGACTTAAGTAGCGAAAAGATCATGATTGATATGAACGTCAATGATATGAGGTTGAAATAATTGTCTTAAGTGTTGGAGCCGATAACTTTGAATTCAACCGTCAAAGGACCATTTGTAAAGGAGTAAACTCAACACAAATGTCAAGTAGTGGAGTTGAAAAGTCCGCGAGCAACTTACAGTGGCCATTGTGGAGAAGTGGAGAAGACAACTGTGAAAATAGTGGAGAAGACAACCCTTGAAGTAGTGGCAATTGTGGAGAAGTGGAGAAGAGACAACTGTGGAAATAGTGGAGAAGACACAACCGCTGGAGTAGTTGAGTCATTTATTTATGGGTAACCACTTGTAGATATAAATTGTTGCATTGTAGAAGTCACTAGGATGTGGTTGATTTCTTTGTAATCGTTGTTAAAAGTCAATAATAGGTATAAATGCTTGAATTCCAATTTGTAGATGGGATCGCTAAAAGAATGCCAGTTGTTAAAGTTTACTTCCAGTTTATCTTCACATTTCAATTCCTTTTACATTGCAGGCAACAATTGTTCCTGGTCTCAATACTTATAATTTTTTCGTCATTTATGTTTTCTAGCCAAAAAGCAACAAAAAAAAAACATTTTCAAGACCTTTGTCAGTTTGCATCGATCCATATTTTCGAAAGGTATTCGTTGACAATTTCAGCAAAAAATCTTTTTTCATACCCAGTGGGATTCTTGTTTGTTGATTTGAGGAAGCTTTCATGGCGACCAAAAATCAACAAGAGGGAAACAATTCTACTAGAAACAACAATCCAATAACACAAATTGTATATGATATTGTTGCCTATGTTGGGACTAACAATACAACCTAGAGGGAGGTGAATAGGTTATTTGAGAACTATGAAAAACATTTGAATATAACAAGTTCAACTTCAAACATTGGCAGAAACAGTTTGTATAAATCAGGTGCATGCTGCTGTTTGACAAATCATGATGTCAAAGATCAAATAATGATAATAGTGAAGAAATAGAAGATTCACAAGTAGATATATAGTGGTTCGGCATTATTCCCAAGCCTATATCCACTCTCAAGACTAACAATCATAACAAGATTAGAATCCACTAGTAATCTTCAAGACAAGTTACAATAAGCAAGTACCGCATTTTTAATAGATCACACTATTAGGACTCATGTACTACTATCACTCTTGTAGACTTGCTCTTGTCACTGATTACAAACAGTAGAACCACACATACAATGACATCAGGATAAACAACAACTAACAACAAAAACTGAGCAAAGAAGAAGACTCAAAGCACAAGACTCATCTTGTTCGGTTCCACCCAACCTAATTCTTCTCTTGGACTCAATATATTGCCAGCCATCTTCATATGATCGTTTCCCATCTAAATTCTCAAGTAGCCATTGGTTCTAGCCATTGCCAATAGCAGACTGTTGCTAGAGATCGTCAGAATGGCTCTTTGATAGTGGCTATTCCAGAACAGTCTCAGTGTACTTTTGTCAGACTTGCCCATTAATGACAAAATTGCTCCTGATCAACTCTGATGATCTTTCTCCTAATTTCGAACCTTTGTAATGGCTATAATCTCGAACATCCTCACATAGTGGATGTTCAAACGTCACCAATTACATGATGTCTCAGTATTGATACAAACATCATCAATTAGCTGATCTTTTTTGTCCTTCCAAGCATATTGGCAATTTCGACTCCACCAAATTGTTCATCTTCATGGTCATTCCAAGCTTTATCAAACATCCTCGTACAAGGCTTGTTCATCATCACTAGATTTATCCAACTGTTCACCCGATCATTGTACCTCCAAGCCATCATAAACATCCCCATTTTTCTTGGCTTATTCACCCTCGATCAAGGTCATTCCAGATGTTCATCTTATCTGAAGATCCTTCTTGCTTGTAGACATCTTCAATTACCCAATGTCTTGTTCACCTTAGATATCGACAAAGCACTTTAAATAGTGGCAGAGCACTCTTCATATCAGAATGACAAACATCTGTATCTTGACTTGTGCATATATCATCTGGTGATACTCAACCAATATACACATTAGTAGCCTTTGATTGTCTTTGTCATCGTCAAAACAACATAGGAATTTTCCTAACGGCCTAGTTTGAGTCTTCAATCGCAAAAAGAGCGGCAGAAGAAGGTCGGCACGAAGGAGGTGATCTGTCCTTGAACCTTACCAAAGTGCACTTAAGAGAAATAGCCAAATTCTACTATGATGTTGACCATGAAGAGGTTGTTTGAAGAATAGTAAGGAGAAATGGCTAATTACAATGTAAATCATATGTTGGATGTAATCAAGCCAATGTTTGTCAATGTAAACGATGCCTTGCTTAGGCCAGGATCTTCCAACCAACTATTGCAAGGGATTTGCCACGATACTAGGCTATGTTCCTAGTCCTCCTCTATATAGCAATAGTCTAGTCAACCCCCCATGAGAATTTTGCAAAGACATGAGTCATCAATTCAAGACCAAAACAATGGAAATGAGGTTGGTCAAAATAATCATATCCATAAAACAATTTGTCTAACCATACTAGTCGAAAGACTGGTCATATGCCAAAAGTTGAAAACTTTAGGCCCATCACCAAATGTAAACATACCTCTTAGACTTACCGATCAACATTAATATAGACAAGCAAGCAAGGGCAGCCTCGCAACTTAGGCAGCAAGATGTCCAACCAAATGTTCAATTAGACATACCCCAAATTCCTAAATAGGTCATGCAATAATTGGGATTTGATAGAGGAGTCGTGAGACTCATATATAGGAATAATTATCTTGAATGGGTCAATAACCAGCCTCTTCCCAGATGCTTTAAGATCCCTGATTTCATCATTTTCAGTGGCGAAGATGACCAATATGTAATTGAAAACGTTCGTCGATTTGTGGCCAAATGTGTTGAAGCAAGTATTGATGAGTTTTTAAGGCATAGGTCACTTCCTTTGTCTTTATTAAAAATTGCATTTACCTGATATACTGAATTACTACCAAACTCGGTGTATGACTGGGCAGAAATGACAAGACAATTCCATTCTTAATTTTATAGAACTGAGGTACGGATTGCTGACTTGGCTAGGTCTATCAGAACACTAATGAGTCAATCGATTGGTTCATTGCTCCTTTCAAGAAGGCTAAAAACATATGCCTCACCTCACTCTTAAAAAAGAATTTACACATTTGGCCTTTAATGGGTTGAAATTTAACATTAGAAAAAGATTCGAAGGCCAAGATGTGATGCCCCAGAACGTCACACGCAACACGTGTCATTTCCATTTTTTTTTAATTATAATTATAATTACGCATGTGGAAACACAACTAACATTTCACAACATCCCTGACAAGAAAATCGCACGAGTTTCATAATATACATATCTTCAACTTTATACATACATCAGTAGTTATTAACACAACATAATACACAGTCTTAGGAAGAAGGTTGGGTCTACTAGCACCACTACTCCCACAATAACCCAAAAGCAAGCCACCATCAACTCAGGGGTTGATGGCCTCTGATAACTTCTTGCCCCCTCCATCGTCATGTCCAGGGGGACCATCCTACAAACTGAAAAATAAGGGGCGAGTCAAAGCTCAGTAAATGAAATCTCTAAATCTAAAGTAGGAGCTCACCTTCGCACCTATCCTAGCATAACAATCACAAACATTCGAAACAACATAATCAATGTATGAGCACACATCTTACCTTCTTTGCAAGTGCCTCGCACAAATGCATGGTATTATCTATTCAATGCACACATATAACATATAATTTCTTGATGCATCAATATCATTTGGTGCCTTATTAACATGCATATATGTATATTCATAAGTATGCATCATATTCATTATTTCATCATATCCCGATTCGCGGGTCTTCTTGATTCACGGGGCATCTCAACTCCGAGGCATCCCGTACATTCGACGAGGCATTCCGATTCGTGGGGCATCTCAACTCTGAGGCATCCCGCAACATCCGCCCACGGGGCATCCCGCCACACTCACACATAATCTTAAGCCTGGGACATCTCGACTCCTGAGGCATCCCGAAACACTACCAGGGGCATCCCAATCACACAACAGGGCATCCCAACTCCAGGGCAATGTCGCCACCCTCAAGTGGACGACGGCACTTTTCTTTTTCAATATTCAATGTTATCATGCAACATTAATGCACATGAACATGTTTAACATCAACAATCAATGCACCACATTATTTCCACAATCGACGTCCAACATACAACATCCTTTCATGCATAGCCATTCTCACAAGCAACATTCGATACACGACATCATCTTATGCAAATCATTACTGAAATACAATCGCCATGTTTTTTTCATGCATCACTTACTTAAGTAATAATAATATACTTATATCTTTTCATTTTAATACAAGCCATGATAACATTATTAGAGAATTGGCAACGTGAACATCAACAACTCAATTAATCGACAGGGTGATCATCGACAGCCCAGTCCATCG